GCCAATAATTAGGCAACTTCGTTTTATGTGTATATACCTGACCCAGTTATGAAACTCGTCATAATTGGACCTATAAAATGAGTTATTCCAATGATATTTCTATTAAATCAAAATTCAGATTTTCACCCTAAATGTGGTGAATAGATTATCTTGAGTGAAGATATTATTTAGACACAGTAATGATGTGTAAAAAATATTGAGACATTAAATACATTAAAATATGTAAGGATCACGAAGGATCGATTACTTATTGCTGCTGTTTTTCCAATATATGATCAGACGTTATTGTCAACATTATCATGTTAATCATTAAAGTTATCAAGGCATCTAAAATATAATAGTAAACTTTGAGTGCATTTAGTATATATCATTTAATGCTTAAATTATTTTACTGTACCTATAATATCTTATCCCTCCTACTGAATCTGTAATTTTAACCTCCCAATTAACTGAACCTACTTGTGAGTATGATACTGCGCTGTTGTCTTTCTCTCCTTTGGCTGCTTTACCGCATCCTCATGATGGAGAGGACTCTGGAGCCCTGATTAACATTGCCACCAGCACCTATTATAATTAGCTCCACATGATTAATGACTATATTCGCATTGCATAAATTAATTAAATAATAGCAATTGGAAAGGATTAAGTAGCTTATTTTCTTGACAGCCTTCTCTGTTCCTTTTCTTGCGAGCTGTATCGCTTATACATTTTTGTCTGCATACTTGTTATTATCTCATCCTACTGGCTATCTTTTTGTTTAATCGAGGTTATGAAGATCAGGATAGTGTGGCTTTTTATATGGTTGCGTTATATAAAAGTTGCTTGACCTTGGCTTCGCAACCTGGTCATATAAGCAAGAAGACCTAGAGGAATGCACCTTGTCCGGAGTCCATAATGTGCATGATAATTCCAAGAGTCGGATTGTGGACTTGATACATTCTCAGATATAGTCATCTAAATATCATTCACTTGTCTCTGACGCGTTGTGGTGTGACGCTAAGTGGCAAGGCTCGCTGACGAAGCCGGAGAAACGTTTGGGAATCTACCAAGTCCACGGTACGACTATGGGAATTATCGTGCATACTATGGACTCCGGACAAGGTGCGCTCCTATAGGTATTCCTGTTAATATAACCAAGTTACGAAACAAAGGTATAACAACTATGTTTTGTTTCCCTTATCTTATTTCTTTTTTTCCTTCCTATTATGGTCAGCTTGTATTGGAACTAATTTGCCCCCCTGTTAGCCTTTCTCTCGCAGGGGTAACATTAATTAAAGTATATTCTTTTTCTCTTTCTAGACTACTCATTTGTAATAATTTGATTGTTTTGGAGGCTTGCAAACAAACTATGAAGTTTGATGTCACATGGCTAGCTTCTTTAATAACATGAGGATATATAAATCTTATAATTAAAAATAGACATACCCCTAAATAATTGTATTTGCTACTTGAATTATCTGGACTAGTAAGGATCTAGCATAATTTTTTCACGCCTCTGTCTTGATTCGTTTTGTATTCGCAAACTCAAAGCCTCATTTCAATACTCATAGGCTCTGAGAATATACGATCTATTCCACACATCAATCAGTTAACTAATTATTTCTTTATCCCTATTCACATTTCATTGTCGTATCTATTACCTTTGGTTATCTTTGCTTATCACACATCCTTATATGCTATTCGTTTCTTATTTTATTCTTTTAGGTCTAAATAAACTAAAGAACGCTATATCCGAATTTGTCACAATGAAGCGTGATAAAGACCACGTGAGTCCTATTTTTACTTGAGTTCTTTTATCATTTGGGCTCTGTTTTTTATCTTATTTCTGTTATTTTACATTTTTTAGATTGTTACAGCTGAGGAAGTCCGCACTTTTTTCTCAAGCCTTATTGAATCTGAAAGAAAACTGATGGGTTGATTAATAATATCTTAAACGACTAACTCTTCAGCTGCTTATGTGGTGTTACAAAACAAGTCACCATCATAGTCTGTTGAGGTTCATTTGAGGGGTCTGTGAATATATTGTCATCAACTTATTAAATACTATTGTAATTCATGTCCTATATTTTTGGAGAGTCCATTTTATTTTGTAAAAGATTGGATATTTTATCTCCTTATATGTATTAAACAAGGCATTTTCTTAACTTGTATATTGTTATACTCAAATTGATTACTTTCAACGATTGGATCGGGTCTTAATAAGACGGATAAAAATTTTTCATCCGAGTTGAAGGAAATTGCCTTGTAAACAGCGTAAACAAGAATGCAAATCGATAGATGGTCAAGAGGGATCCTCTGTCGGCAATGCGATCTTGGTTGGCTTATTTTAGCGAACTACTTCATGAACGACGAAGCGCTTCAGGGAAGAGGCGAGACTAGCACTAAAACTCTTAGTTAAATATATTTGGATGACTATTTTGCAGTGTGGCAGCTTCGTAAGAATAAATTGTATCGGGAGGCTAGGATATAAACACGATACAACGCCTGATAGCATTTGACAAGCGTCGCTGTCTAGCCTATCGGTCAGAAACACTTGTGTCATATTGAAATGATAGAAGCAATGATTCTTGAGTACCTGAGCCTTATAAATCCATGGGATCGTATAGTGTAGGCAACCCTAACACCCTGAGGTAAGGAGTGACAGTTAAATTTAGTCATTGCACCCCATCTGCGACCTTACCTCAGTCTTGAGAAGCAGCTATGTTACGCAGTCATTTAGTGGG